TGATTAATTGATTTTTGACAAGTGTGCCAAGACCTTTCAATGGAGAAAGGACATCTTCAACAAATGGTGCTGGGAAAACTGGATACCCACATGCAAAAGAGTTTAGTTGGATCCTTACTTTACACCATATATAAAAATTAACTCGAATAAAAGACCCAAACTTAAGTACTAAAACTATGAAAATCTTAGAAGAATATGTACAGGTAAATCTGAATTTGACAATGATTTCATGAATAGGACAGCAAAAGCACAGGCAACAAAAGTAAAAATAAATTTGACTTCATCAAAATTAAAACCTTTTGTGCATCAAAGGATACTATCAAGTAAGTGAAAAAACAACCTACAGAACAGGAAAAAATATTTGCAAATCATATGTCTGATAAAGGGGTAATAATATGTAGAATATACAGAGAACTTCTGAGTCTCAACAACAACAAAAAACAAACCTCCCAATTCAAAAATGGGCAATGAAGTACTTAAACAGATATTTATCCAGGGATACAAATTCCCAATAAGCATAGGAAAAAATGCTCAAAATCATTAATCATTAGGAAAATTAAAATCAGAACTAAAATAAGGTATCACCCCACATCTACTAGGATGGCTACACATATATTTTTTTATGGAAAATAACAAGTGTGGGAGGATGTGGACAAACTGAAACTCTCTGGCATTGCTAGTGAGAATGTAAGATAGTACAGCCTCTGTGAAAAACAGTTTGGTGGTTCATCAAAAAGTTAAACATAGATCCTTGGATGGTGTGGTTCAATGGATTGAACACTGGCCTTTGAGCCAAAGGGTCACTGATTCAATGCCCAGTCAGGGCACATGCCTAGGTTGTGGGCCAGGTCCCCAGTGGGGAGCGTGTGAGAGGCAACCACACACTGATGTTTGCTCTCCTTCTCTCTCTTTCTCCCATCCCCTCTCTAAAATAAGTAAATAAAATCTTTAATTAAAAAAAAGAGTTAAACATAGAACCTGACCCAACGGTTCCACCCTTACATATATATCCATAAGAACTGAAAGTAGGAACTGGAAAAGACATTTGTACACCCATGTTCACAGCAGCATTACTCACAATAGTCCAAAGGTAGATACAACCTGAGTTTCAACCAGATGAACAAATAAACAAACAAACAAAATACATATACAAACAGATGTATATATACAGTGGGATATTATTTAGCCATAAAAAGGAAAGGATATATATATAGCATATATATTATATATGTGATAATATGAATTGAAAACAAAATCAGCCAGACACGGAAGGATAAGTATTGTATGATTCCATTTAAATGAAGTACCTAGAACAGGCAAATTCACCGAGAAAGACAGTGGAATAGAGGTAACTAGGGATTAGGAGTGGGAAATAGGGAGCATTATTGTTTAATGGCCACAGAGTTTTTTGATGATGATTAATATTTTGTATATAAATAGTGGTGATGGTTTACAAAACATTGTAAATGTATTAATATTGCTGGGTTGTACATTTACAAATGGTTAAAATGATAATTACTATAGTATTTACATTTTAACACATTTTTTTAAAAGAAGCATTAGGTATGCTGGTAAATTGCTTCTGGTTGTCAAGCCAAGGGACAGTGTATCTCAGCTGAAGGCTCAGTTTGGGGACCACATTTTTAATGGACGAGGGTATGATTTAATGTAGCTAAATTTACTCAGCTTCAGGGTCAGGTTTTATCCCCAAACGTAGTGATTTAGAATTCTGAAAGAACTTCCATACACTCTGCCAAACTTAATCTTTACTCCTACATTGAGCAGTGGATAAATCATAGCATATTTTTGCAAATGACAAAAAACATGAGGGGCAGCAAGGTTAAATATGTTCAAGTAGGAATTTAAATAATTCGTGCAAAATATTTAGCACAAAGTATTCGGTAAGCTTTAGCTATTATCATATTACAACTAGTAAGTGCATCACCTCTGGTGTATCAAATGTCCTTATTTTACAGGCAATTCCATCTTGATTGATATATATATTGGCAACTATGAAAGAGGCTCACTTTTTAAATTTTCTCAAATATAGGCACTAAAATGTATTTACCTTACCCTGGATTGCTGCACAGTTCAGTATCGTGACATAAAAGAGCAAAGCAACCAAAAGGTGGTTTATGTTTTGGACCCTGATGAGTTCCTTTCCATAAAGATGTCTCTAATTATTGAACTATTAAAAAACTTTTTTGGATTAGGGGTTAAAACTCAATAAAGCTATTTCTACAGAGATCCATCTGATAGCTGTTCCCCTAAAACTGCACAGTCCCTGGGGGCAGCATTCCTCCTCAGCAGGCCTGCGAGGGGGGAGAGCTGGCTCCATGTCCATTGCACACTGGGGCCCTGAAATGCCCAGTGCAGTGGGTCAAAGTATCTGAAGAGAAACACCCATAGCCCTAAATAGATTTGTTTAGACTGTCCTAATATGAGCCTGGAAACAGTTAACTTTGACCATGAACATTACCCCAAGGAGGACCTGGCTTTCTAGCAATCGAGACAATCATTCCATCAGCTGGTGGCATAAATTCTATGGAATTGTTTTAGCTTGTGAGAAGGTAGAAAAGAAAAAGAGAGAGCCATTTAGTTTGTAATTTATAAAGATCAAAGTAGTAGCACTTGCTCAGCCTCCTGCTTAAGGAACCAAAATATAAAGGTATGTGACCATTTCAAGGCTTTTATATGTGACAGAGCTATTCTCTCCTAAAAATTTAGTCATTGTCTAATGTATATTTCAAGTAAAATCATCATAGCTCAGTTTGGAGCAAAAACATTTTTCAAGTCCAAACTCCAGCCCAACAGTATTCTCCTCCCCCGATTCAAGTGAAGGACGAGACCACTGTGTAGATTAAGGCTCCTGAGTACGTAATTTCTCTACTAATGGTGTAAGAGCACATAATGTTAGTCCTTTTTAAGTATAATTTGTATATGCAATAAAGCCTAGATTAGCCAAAGTATTAAAGAATATAGACTTCTGGTTAATTAAGTTTTCTGATATAACCTATGGATCATTAGAAAATATTTTTTTTCAACCAGCCTTGCTAGTGATTAAAAATTGTCCTAATGTCCAAATTCATTGTCCTGCCTTAACCAAAATAAATACAATTCTGCTTCCCCAGCACACTACATTGCACTGCACAATCTCTGTCCCATGGAGGTAACTCGCTCCTGCACAGTGATGTCTCCATCTCTATGTTCTTCTCAGTGACATGCTATAATCTCATTGATGCTGTATGAGAAGGCAGTTTTTCAAAAATAGTCCAACTTCACTGACTATATAACAACATTTTTCCCCAAGAAAAATGTCATTATGTTTTAACAAAATTAGGTAAGTAACATGTTAACTATGGTGAGGACTATGTCTAACAGAAAATAAGGCCCATCCCTGATTTTGAAGTATGGAAAATTTTAAATTTAAAAAACAATGAAGTTAAATAGAGAGTTTCCACACATAGTTAATTTAAGAGTTGTAGAGATGATAAGCGCAGATTTGGGATAAACCAATAAATTTAGTTTACATCAACATTCCAAAGGGAGTCAAGATGAAGAAAGAGTTCCCAAATACTTAGGGCGATAAGAGAAGGGCTGAACCACTGCACTGGCAGAAACATATTCCGACAAAATAAACACCTGTCCTTAAAACAAATACCAATTTCATAGGAAATATGACTTGCTCTAAGAATTCCTCTCTACAAAAATCAATTTTTAGTAATTTGAATATCACAATTTTCTATCACAAGGTGTCCAAAAACCTTTAATACTAGGATTGACTTTTTTTTTTTGAGGAATTTTCACAGTCAGTCCTTAGTTAGCCAGACTCTTAACATCTCTATTTGAATCATTTGAGTTTTGACACAGACATCCCACCTTTGGTCACAAGGAACGGTATTTACGCTTCCAAATACGAAAGAGTTATCGATGGCAACAAGTAAGTAAAATAGATGTTAAAACTCACCAGGTTTGTTTCTATGCAATTTAGCAAGCTTTCTTACCAAGAATTTTAGTAAAGTGATTTATATTTTATTATTGCTTTAAGCCTATTAAAATGCCTTTGTTCACTTTATAAACCCCACACACAAAGAAACTGCTGCACTCAGATTTCTTATACTCAGATTCGGAGGTTAATATATTAAAAAGAACTTGACACAGAAATTATTAGTGAGTAGAACAAGGTCACTACTTCTGAGCTGAGGTCACTTACAAAGAATTCACAAATGAAATTAAGGTTGACTTTTATTTACTTGACTATCTCCTTACATTGGATTCCTTTGGCAACATATCTTTAAACATTTAAAGCCCTGTTTACAAGGAGGCTCTGAAAGAAGCTTCAAACCATTATGTGTCTCTAATTGAATTCCCCAGGAGTCCAGTAAACTCAGAGGAATAAAGAAAAATCATAACATTTGCTAAATCATCTCAAAACACATTTCACTGCAAGGTTATGTGACCTGTTTTTTGAGGTGGAAAGATGAATGAGAAAATACTACTGAATGCTTCATTATTTAGACTAAAATCAAAAAGAATTTTACCTATTAATAGTAAGCTAATTAAATCTGTCCAATTTTAACTTTTCTTTCAAGAGAAATCATATAACAAATAATAACATTTCATACTGTATGTGACCACTCTGCCAGAATATGAAAGCTCTCAGGGGGAGGAAAGCATCTTTAGCCAAAGACAATTATTCACAGTGAAGGTAAGAGAGAGCTTAACAAAAATTTGTAATCCCCAGGGAAAGTAGCAATTTATCTGTGAACTCAAAACAAACTCAAGTGGAAGACGAGAAAATAAAAGTTTTAGCAACCAATTAGTTTATTATCATGTCACCTTCCCAATTAACTTTCCAATTCTAATTTTACTTTTAAATAAGCTTTTATGGGTTTTTTATTCATACTTCTTTCATGTGCTCCTGTGTTTGTTTTGACTACGAAGCAAAAACATGTGGATTTTAGCATTTCCAAAAGAATGTTAAATGCCTCTCTACTTACCTGGTTTGTATGTTATTCCAGGGGGGAAGAGGAATCCCTGCTGGGCAGCAGCAGCTGCTGCCAGGGTCCGCTGGTCATGTGGAAAAATTGGGATCATGAGCGGAGGCATATGACCCTGAACCTGCTAAACAGAAGAGAGCCTATGATCAGACAGAGAGCAAATGGACGCCAAGCAGTATTTGTTTTTCACTCCTGGTGGTGTGCTGGTACCCAAACAGCCACGCACTTCTAACCTCATTCCAAATAGCTCCCTGAGAAAATTCAGGCGAAATTCACCGAATCCCTCCTCTAAAATTCCATTAGCACACCAAGAACATATCCTCATTGTGAATTTGCTTCACCCCTGCTTCCACTAAATTGTAGTAAATGGTTTTCTTTTATCTTGAGTTTTTTTTAATTTTCTATTCTTTAAAAAGAAAAAAGAAATAAGTTGCTTCTTACACCATACAGTGCTAAAAGGTTTCACCCTTTCACTGGCTGTGCATTCCATGCTTTATTTTGAAAATAATATTTAGTGTCCTTGGTCAGAAAATAATGTCTAATTGTTATGTATTCTGAAAGCTGTGTCTCCCCAGTTTAGGTATCTTATTTCAAAGCCTCACTGCATTATGTTAAACATAGAGCTCTTCAGATTTAAGGCTACTACATCTTGGCTCCCAATTAAACTAATATTCTTTGCCATACACACCTCGATGTAACATATAAATTGCCTGTCTGGCTAAGCAGTTTTACAGCTTTATGCACTACCATGTAGCTCAGTAATTATGGAGTTGTATTCAGAGAGCATTTCATAATAAATCCTACTATATCAAATTTCATTTGACCTCAATAAATGTATCAAAGAGCACAAAAATGCAAAATAGAAAATCTTCACTCTCTATATCAGTATTTGTATTCCATATACAGAAAATAAGAGCTATGACAGAATCATGCCGGTGGAAATCACATTTTAATTTCCTAGCTCCCTTCTCCGCTCCGCACATACCACCCTGATTCCAGGAGAGCATCACAGGAAGGTTTTGTCCTGGCTATTAGGACCTGTAGGTCGAACCACAGGACTTTTGTTATTTAAAGATCAAAATTAGGGTGTATTCACAGAAATGATCTTTTAGTTCAAACTGGGTTTTTGGCCTCTCTACTAGCATAAAAGGGCTACATACATTACATTCTATTTAAGATACAAACCTTTACCAGTAATTCTACCAATCCCAAACCCTTCCCCCATTTAAATTCCTAAATCTTCTCTTTAGGCAAAATTCCATATACTGGCTGGTGGCCCTGTTGAAACAGCACTGACTTGCCTTGTCCTGTCCCTTTCCCCCCACAGCCAGGGACATAGTGCAAAACGCCTCTGTGTAGGTCTAAGAGGTTTCATTTACCAACAGTTTTTCTCCAGGGAAAGCCCTAAGATGCGGGTTAATAAAGGGCAAGCAAAAAATAAACACTTTACAGTATTTTTCTGAATTCATTTCTCAGGAAAATCAACTTATAATAAAAAGGTCTTTGTGCAATTACTACCTTGCCAGTGGGGCGTGAAAGAAACTAGCTTTGGGCAGCTATTTCTTCCATTTTAGCTGAGGTAAGCCCAAGTTTTGTACTTTAGAGTACAAACTTAGCCTGCTTCAATTGAAGCTGATCCCCTAGTGCCCAGGTCTTGCCTTTAACCCTGAACAAAAGGACTAGGTTTGCGTTTCAACCCCAGCTTACTGTGACCTGATGCAAATCTGAGATGTCAAAAATGAGGGCACTGCTCTGTGTCAGAAAATAAAACAGTATTTTTTTGTGGGTGACTACTGTTCAGTGCAAAAGAATATCAAAGGAAACCATTTCATTTACTTCTGGAAATATGGTCCTACCATGGACCTTGAACACGGCACAGATACTTCAAACTCTAAAAATAGGGAACAAGAAAGTGAGAAGTCTAGGTATCATATTTATATACCCTCTCCTTCTTTCATTTAGCAAACATTTATTAAGTTGCTATAATGTGTTATGGATCTTGAGAAGTAGCTGGAAAAAATGGCGGCTATTTAGCATGGGATAGAGAAGATATGCTATCCTCAAATATTTGAGGGAATAGTATATGAAAGATGAACCAGATTAACTGTGAGTAGTTAAAAAAGGCAGAACTGAACTCAAAAGAGAGAGGGAGGAGAGAGAAAGATTGGGGGCATAGGCAAATTTAATGCAAAGATGAATTTTCTAATGATGATTTATTTAACAATCACTGATTAAAGAGGGGGTGTGTGCCATTTCCCTAGAGGTGGTCAAGTAAAGGTTGTATATCTACATATTAGAAGTTCTTGAAAAGATATACATTAAAAACCCTAATTAGATAATAACCTATAGAGCTTTTTCAACTTTATACTTCTATGATTGTTTAAAAGTCAACATTAGTAAGATAATGTGATATAGTCATTCTTTTATTCATTCAACACATATGTATCCAGAATCTACTGTCACTACAGAGGCTTTGCTGTCAAAGAAGCTGAACTTAAATCTATACATTGTCATTCTGTTGGCTGTGTGATCTTGGACAGTTACTTAACCTTTCTGAGACTACTCTGTCATGTAAAAAGAAAAGCTAATGACACTACCTTGCATGGCTATTGTGAGAATTAAGCAGACAAGGAGAGTGACGCTTGCAGCACAGTGACTGGCATGTTCTAGGCCCTCAGTACATGTTAAGTCTTTGCTCATTTTTTTGTATAGTTTGAATATTCAGTACTAGAAAATTATCAAGTTACCGACAAAAGAAGAAACAGTGGATCTTACCCATAACTCTAATTCAAAAAAGAAAACATGAGCCAACTAAACAATTCAGTTTGGCAGGCAGAGGCTTGTCATGTTCTTCGCAGACACTGAGCCTCACAGAGCATTATCCCATCCCCAGTATCTAGAAAACTATGAAAAAGAAGAGGTGGGACGACAGCGATCATTTGAAGATGTAACTTGGGATTTTTAGTGTTATTCATTAAGCAGCATCTTAGAATGGAAACAATTTTATTTTTATATTGGTGCCCAGGCTCTTCAGATCAGAAAGGGATCAGTGGTAATTAGGCATCAGATCTTAATTTTTGAATCTTGGTGTTGAAAGCTATTTCCTTTGTAATCAGCTATGTACATGAGATAACTAAGTAGACTGTCTAAGGTCATTTTTAATGGCAAAAAGCGGTAGGTGTTTCATATTAACATAAGTATAATAATTTAGGGAAGTTCCTTTCTGTCCATCACCATCTATAAGGCAGGATATGTTAGAAATTCTCAATGCTATTATCTCAGAGGCAGTTTCAGTAAATTGAAGGTCAAAGTAAGTGAGGAGTGGGGTGGAAGGCATAGTGAAGGCAGTAGTAATGATAGACTCAGAGGTGGAGCGGAGTTTACAGTTGATCTAACCCACTAGTTCTCCCAGTGTGGTCCCTGACCAGCAGCAGCACCAGCAGCAGCCCCAGCAACACCTGAGAACTTGAACAAAGCTAATTATGGGGTTCCACCCCAGACCTGCGAATCAGAAACTCTGGGGTTGGGTCCAACTACCTAAAATTTAGATTAAAATAATCCAAAGCAGTGATGTTCAAACTTTAATGTGCGTTAGAATCTGGATGGCTTATTAAAACAAAGATTGCTCAACCCTACCCTCAGAGTCTCTGAATCTGTAGATTTGAGGGAGGGGCCTGGAAGTATATTTTTCTAACAAGTATCCAGGTGAAGGTGGTATTGATGATCCAGGGACCGCTCTTTGAGAAACACTAACTTAAATCAAACCTCACAAATTACGCATGGAAACAGGTGGCTACAGAAGGCAAAAGCATGAGGTCACACTGCTTATGACAGAGCTGGATCTAAAGTCCCAAACCACTAATTACCCTGTTGAGGGCTTTTTCCATTATGTCACATGGACTTTAGTGACAGGGAATAAAAGAGGAGAGGGGGAAATCACATGCGTACATGCTTTTGGTAGAGAAAATCTGGAGTTCTGCAACTAAAAATAATTTTATGTTTCAGAGGTGTATTGTTGGAGGCAGCTTGTGAGTATGGCTATTATACTGTTTAGATTCAGGTTCTTTCATCTTCCCTCCCATTTTATACCCAGAACAATTTGATCTTAAACCTATTGTTACTGATTCCAATTATTCATCATAATACTTTCATGAGCAATGATAATTTAGTTTGGAAAGATAAAATTGTCCTTAACTTATTTCAAGTAAAAGAATGATATGAAAATTCAAAAAGCCCTTTACTAAACACAAGCCAAAGTATCTGGTAGCCAATTAGAATCTAGGCTGAGGGATGATGAAAAGCTCCTTTCTAGTGCTCCTTACCAAAATAATAATAGTGATAACGATGATGATGATAATACTCACAGCAGCTAGTATTTTCCAGTGTTTCCTATACGCCAGGCACTGGGAAAGTGATTTACATGCTTTATCTCATTTAATCCTCAAAATTCTAGGGTGTACTAACTGTTACTATTGTCATTCATTTAATGGGAAAGACAAAACCAGGACAGGGTAAGTAATTTGGTCAATTAAAAAGTGGTGGAGGCAGGATTGAAGTCCAGGTAAATCAGGCTCAAAGTCTATAAACTATTACTATATTATATTAAGCATAAAGTCATCTTTTGCTAAGCAGACCTAAATGAGGTAAGGAATATAATTCTTTGTGATAACAATTATATGGCTGAAGGTTTTTACAAATATAATTGTAAATTTACATGAAGTTGTAATAAATAATACACAGGAATCCAATGTACCCTCTACCCTGTTTCCTCCAACAGAAGCATTTTGAAAAACTAGAGTGCAATATCAAAACTAGGATATCAACATTAATACAATCCAACAATCTTATCCAGATTTCCCCAGTTTGATACTAGTTTAAAAGAATTATGTCTTAAAAATTAACAAGGGTAATGGAAGTCTACCACCTATATAGAAACCACCACAGCACCACTCACCAGCGGAAACAGAGTCACGTGCTGCAGTGCAACATTTTGGTCAATGACAAACTGCGTATACGACAGCAGTCCTGTAAGATTATAATAGAGCTGAAAACTTCCTAATCGCCTAGTGATGTCATAGCCATTGCAATGTTAGAGCAATTAATTATTCACGTGTATGTAATGCT